CCCTCAAGTTGGAGATTGATGAAAGTCCATTAAACCCAACTTGGAAAGTAAGAACTTGAATTGAGGAGATGGAAGAGACTTCGTAAAGATGTCTGCAGCCTGATCGTTGGAAGAAACATGTTGCGGATGAATGAGTCCAGCTTTGTATTGATTACGAATCACATGATAATCTATTTCAAGATGCTTCGTACGTTTATGAAAAATTGGATTAGCACTGATATGGAGAGCTGTCTGGTTGTCACACCAGAGAGAAATTGGAAGACTTGGGGTGATGCAAAAATCCTGAATAAGATATGTGATCCACTGAATTTCACGAACAGTGGCAACCATGCTTGGATATTCAGCCTCAGCAGAGCTACGCGAAACTGTCTGCTGCTTCTTTGATTTCCAGGAAATAAGAGCTCCACCCAAGAAGATGCAATAACCAGTCAAGGATTTCCTAGAGTCTGGACAGGAGGCCCAATCCGCATCACAATAGGTTGCAAGCTTGAAATTGTTGGAAGAAGGAAAGAAAAGTCCTTTTGACATAGTTCTCTTGATGTACTTCAGTAAGTGTAATGCAGATTCCCAGTGTGAAACGATTGGTGAGTTAATAAACTGACTAAGTTGCTGAACGGCATAAGACAGATCTGGTCTAGTAAGATTAAGATAGAGTAATCTACCCACAAGCCCTCTATACTGATCAGGTTGTTGATATGAGACACCCTCAGTAGTAAATTTATGACCTTTTGGCAGTGGGATATCCAAGGTTTTGATCCCATCAAACCAGCATTAGTGATAATGTCCATAGCATATTTCCTTTGGTTGAGGTACAGGCCTTCTGAGCAACGTGCAATTTCTATCCCCAAGAAATATTTAGCAAGTCCTAAATCCTTTATGGTAAAGGTGGTATCAAGAAATTGCTTAACCTTCTGCAATTCTTTGTCATCTGTGCCAGTGATGAGCACGTCATCCACATATACAAGAAGAGCTGTGACAGTATGATCGGAATGGAGAACGAAGAGACAATTATCATGTGCAGATTGTCTGAAGCCATACAGTTGCAAATGTTTGCAGAATTCTGAGTTCCACTGCCAGCTAGCCTGCTTTAAACCATAGAGTAACTTTTTTAGTTTACG